TTCTTATCCGGAATATTGCAAGTCAGAAAACAATGGAATTTCACTTTCAAAGTACTAAACTAAAAGCCTTTCTTTATCTCTTTGATAATCTGCCTCTCAGTGAGTGGAGTAATAGTTCTTATTACACATGATTTCTGTAAGGACTTAATAATACTTCTTATTTTAAAAACAGTGAATATGAAATTATTATATTATTGTTAGTATTAATGTTTCTATTATCATTACTGTTTAAACATTAAGTAATCACATTTTCACATCTATACTACAAAATCCCAGACTTTTTGTATGGTAATCTGCCCTAAAGAATCTTTCAAGTTCATCTCCCACCTCTCCCAATTACATTTGCCTATTGGATTACTCCCTGTTCTCTGGTCCACTGCTATATCACTTCTACACCTTTGTACATACTTTAACCATTTTCAAGGCCTAGCTCAATGCTCAGGTCTTTTAGAACCTTTTATTGTCATCTCTCCAGAAGTAATTTCTTCCTCTTCTATATTCCCAGTATAAACATGTAAACCAGTATTTCTCGAACTTTCATGTGCATAAGAATCATCTGGAGTGGAGCCTGAGAGATAATACATTGTCACATGCTCCCAAATGCTGTCAATGCTGCTGGTCTGAGCAGATCCCACTTTCGAGCAGTAAGGTTTTATCCCTTTTCTTATGATTATATTTCTATTATCTCGCCTTCTAGTAATTCAGTTCTAAAGAAGAGAGCTGAATTACTTTTGCCTTAGTAATTATCATGGCACCTAGTATTGGACTATATAGCTAATTGATACTTAGAAAATGAATGATAGATAAATAAATAGATGATCATCTTAGCCAATCTCCTGCTTCCTAGTCAAACCAAGCCTCACCTCTTAACACTTATTAATCTGTATCTAGTTTTTAAGTGCTGAGGGAAGGTGAAACCTAAGGTCTCTGTGAAGCCATTTACCAATGTATAGCCCACTACACTGTGATAGCTATCTGAAATGATGAGAAATTCACTAAGAATGATACTGTTGATAAAATTTTCACTCATTTTACTGAATTTAAAATATGAATATGCTGAAACTTATTCTTGATACAAACACCATAAGTACCTTCTGTCTCTGGTGTAAAAAGGAGCACATGTGTGATATGCTGTATTCTAAGTAGGAAGATTGTTATAACTGAAAACTGAAAAGCATTTCTTCCAAATTCTTATAAACTTAATGGAGTCTCTGCATTTAAAAAGCTTCGGAGACTTTTTCTTCCCTTCCCCACCTCCAAACCCCATGTTCTGCAGGCTCCTGGGTAGCACCGCCTAACCATATACTGTATCCTGTCATGTGACTAACAGGGCCAGCTAGCAGCACCTCAACATTGTTTTGTACTGTGGGACTGAACATGTGTTTCCCCTTTGCAAAAATTACATCATGTCTCAGGAAGTCTCCTTTCTCTAACAGAACCAGCGGATATTCTCAGCCAAGGCTTTGCAAATAAGAAAAGAAGATAAATGGATCCTGGTGCCGTTGTTTAAAGTGTGCATGCTTGCTGCAGAGTCTTCATTTCACAGTCCGGCCTCAGCCAATTCATCTATGCATTATGTCCCCACTCTCTCGCTTCTCACTGAAATGAGTAAGCAGTGGATGAGGAGGAAGGTTTGCACCTGGTGGCTGTGCGCTTCTTTCATGAAGTACAATTGTTTTCTATCCTCGGCCTTTGACCACAAGTCAGCCAGCTAATAGTTTACACTCAGACAAACGCTTTAACCTGTAACCAGAAGAGTTGAAAATAGAAAATTTCTGGGGATTCCATTTCTTTCATGATAGCTTCTCCAGTTTCTCAGAAGAAAACTAACAAAATATGCTGGCCTTACCTAGTTTGAAAAAAAAAATGAGACTGCTGTCTTCACTCTTCACCTGAAAGATACTTGCCCCTGTTCCTCAGTCTAAAATGCATTTCCTGTATCTGCATATTACATTAAAATCTTCCTTTCTGATCTCTTCTTAAAGAACTAGTTTTGTGTTGAACTCTTACTAAGCCCTATATATCCCCATTGTTGTTATTTGTCACAGGTTGCAAGCAAGCAGATGCCAGAGACAAAGACAACATGGTTCTCCTTTGTCAACACTCAGCAGAGCACCACAGATAATTTACAGCTTTTTTGCATATGATGATAATCCTAATGGGCCCTTAAATTTTAATAACACCTGTGAGGTTTTTTTTAATGGTTTTCTGCCTATGATATCATCATCATCATTCTTTATTTATTTTAGAAATATTTCTTGAGTATTTGCTCATGATAGGCACCATGCAAGGTATCCATAGGGATGACGGTGAATGAGAGAGATGTTCTCTCCCCTCATTTAAAATACATTCAGTGAGTGTATTGAGCTCCTATGAGGTGACATTTTTTAAAAAGTTTATAAATTTTTTGGCCGGGTTTGGTGGCGCACACCTATAATCCTAGCACTTTGGGAGGTTGAGGTGGGCAGATCATTTGAGGTAAAGAGTTCAAGACCAGCCTGACCAACATGGTGAAACCTCATCTCTACTAAAAATACAAAAAATTAGCTGAGTATGATGCTGCATGCCTGTAGTCTTAGCTACTCAGGAAGCTGAGGCGGGAGAATTGCTCCAACTTGGGAGGTGGAGATTGCAGTGAGCAGAGATCACACCAGTGCGCTCCAGCTTGGGCAACANAGAGTGAGATTTCATCTTAAAAAAAAAAAAAAAAAAAAAAAGTTCTAAATTTCTCCATTATGTACATCAGAAACTTGAGGCCCAGAAAGATTTAGTGATTCTCACAAGTCCACGTTGTTAGCTCCAGTACAAGGGATGTAGCAAACAACAGGTATTGTGACAGAGATTGATTCTAGCCCAGATGGCCAGAAGTTGCCTGCATCAATGACAATTAGTTTCCAAACTAATATAAAAAATAAATTATAAGGCCTTGGCATACTAGAAGGAACATCAGACTAGCAATCAAGATATTTGGATTTGAAATCCATCTTATTATTTCCTAATACATTGAATAGGGTTAGTAGTTTTACAGCAGTATTACTCAGAGTGCTAGGGTTCCAAGGAAATGATGTAGGAGTCTTTGAGTGGAGTACTAGGAGGATGAGTTGGCTCCAAGCCATGTTTGCCCATGCTTTTGATTAAGTCTCTTCCAGATTTAATCAAAGCTTTGATTTGTTTTATATATTGATGTTCTGCATATAATTTTAATCCTAAAAAGAAGTTATTTAAAAAAATAAAAACAAAAATAATTTGGAAACCAATTAACTGAATGACCTTTAAAACCGTTTTCAATTCTGATCATCTGTAACTTGGTAAACTTTTCAACATCATCAGCTAAGAGTCTGTTTCTTCCTTATTTGGGATGGTTAACATGGGGCTCAGTTCCCAACAGACCAATTGATATGGTAGACTGTAGAGTTTTGTTGCTCAAAATATGATCCATGTATCAGCAGCATCAGCATCACCTGGATGTTTATTAGAAATACAGAATCTGAGGCCCCATCCCTCGTAAGTTAGAATTCAAATTTTACCAAGGTTTCCAGGTAATTAATGAAAATTAAAGTTTGAGAAGCATTATCTACAAGATTTTGGAATCTTTCTTGATTAACTTGTATCATTGGTTCCTGTCACATTCTCCTCATCATGGTTTATAGCAGAAAGATTAGAATAGCTGACACTCATGCCCTGAACTTCCTCTCTATGGCCCTAAGGGAAAAGGTAGAGTCAGTATTTACCATTTTTTCCCATGTTTTAACTAACAACTTAACAATCACCATCTGCCAATGTATACTTATAAATGCCCCTACAGTACCCATGACCATTTGGGATGGCAGGGATATTGAAAACCGCTCTTCTCCAGTTAATCTGAGGCCACTTTGATGAGATCATTTTTTTAATCCAGTCCAATTCTGAGACTCACTAATTTTATAATACAAACATTCATAACAAAAAACTTTCAGATCCTTTGCAAATTGCCCCAGGCTTGTCCATGTGTTATTAAAGTTGGGCTGAGTAACAAATGCTATAAATGTCTTAGGAGACAGCACTCATGCCCAGTGAGCATGACATCCCATAATAGACCTATTTGGCTTGTTACCCTGGCGCCTTTCTCCACCCTGATCTCTGGAAACCAGAGAAAGACAAACATTAGAATGTCAATCCAAAGCTGTAGACATGGGTATAAGATGCTTTGCTTGGAGAGTTTTCATAAGATCATATTTCTGGCCAGATTCCTATTACTTCGGAGTTGTAGTCAGAGGCGATTTTTTTCATTAGCATTTCTTTTCCCAGAAGGAAAACATTATCTCCCAAATAAAATTTAAGTGAACTAAATCACTTCCAACCTCAGCATCATTTCAGGCTTGGTGTCATTGGTAGATTCAAGACTGAGTTCCATTTAATCTGCTCAAGTTCCATTCCTAATAGGAAAAATGCCAAGAAACAAAGAAACGATGCATCCCATTTTCAGAGGCAATCACCTATGTTTTAGACTGATCATAAAGCAGTTCAATTTATCAATTTCTTACAGAGTCAGCTCTCCCAGGCAAAGTTGAATCTGACTGCATTGTTATTTTTTATTTTAAAATATGTTTATTTGTATTATATATTTTACATTGCACACTTCAGCAAAGAAAATAATTATGATTTCAACATGCAATCCCTGGATTCAATAAATATCCTTTATAATCAATTACACTAATCAATATCTAGAACTATAAGTACACAAAGTTAGCTAATGAATTAAATAAGCAAAATGACTATGTAAACTATAAATTTCAGGGATGAGGTATGATGCATGATCAGTTAAGTTGTTCTGCCGCTTTTTAAAATAATATGATTTACATTTGCTTCAATCACATAAACATTCATTGCAGGAGTTGGATACCTGATAATAACTGAAAATTGTGATCTTTGTTAGCTTAAGAGAATGTTCAGTTTAACCCAAAGACATTCAAGACGGAAATTTCAGTGTTGAATTTTCAACATACGTGATTGCTTGTTGCTCTGCTTTGTTATAAGTAAGATTCAAGTAAGGCTAAGACAGAAGAGTGTTTCCATTGAAGACATGATCTAAGAATCGCCTTCCATAGAGGCAAATTATGTTCTATAGAAACTAGCTAGCTAGCCACCAAGATGTTACCAATAAAGCATTCCTTATACTAGCAGCTAACCACGTTTAAAAGGTCTTAGCCAGTATTACAAAACAAAACATTTAGAGTAGTATTTATGAATACAAGCATAATTGGTTCCTTGCCTTCTACAAATAACCATCTCTAAAATGATAAAAGCAGATTTCAACTCTGGTTCTTCTTTGGGATGAAAAGGTGCAGATACACATGGGTGATCTACTGATTTACCTTCTAAAAATACTCTGGAAGCAGCTGGATTTGGCTTGATTGCAGGAGAATTCAGTGTCCAGTTTGCTGGGCAGACTTCTACATAGGTTTCTACATACTGGAGTGCCTTCACCAAGCAGAGGGTTTCTTTCACGCTTCGGCCCACTCGGAGATTATTGACACTTAAGTGCTTGATGACTCCACTGGGGTCAATTAAGAAGAGACCTCTTAGTGTAAGACCAGGACCTTCTAACAGCACACCGTAGTCTCAGAAAATTTGCTTAGTTAAATCTGACAAGAGTGTGATGTTCATGTGGCCCAAACCATCATTTTTCCTGGTGTATTTATCCAGGCAACATGGCTAAAGTGGGAATCCACTGAGACTGCAACAACTTCTCAGTTCACATTGTGAAATTCCTTAGCTTTGTCACTAAAAGCAACAATGTCTGTAGGACACACAAAGGTGAAATCCAAAGGATAGAAGAAAAGCACCAAATATTTCCTCCAAGTCATCAAGGCTTAGGTCTTTGAGCTCTCCATTGACAACGGCTGTACCCTTAAAATAGGACGCATGCTGGGTGACAGCAGGTGCATGGTATGAGGAACTGGTGCTGAAGAATTTTGCTTGATGGGAACCAGAGCACAATATGTTTGTCAAGCTCATTCTTCCAGATGCATCGGGCCTGAGGGCTGCAGTGGCGGAAATGCCCCAAGGAATGGCACTCACATGTTGGGCAACGGATGCTCGAAACAACCTTCTCACAGCAGCTGCCATCTTCAGTGCACACCCTGTCTACATTCATTCTTCCACCAAACACTTATTGAGTGTCTACCATATGCCAGGTATTGAGCTGGCCACTAGAGAAACAAAGACAGTATTTTAAATCAAGAAATTCATAGCTTGCCTGCAAAGACAGACATATAAATCACTATTAAATGATATCATCAATATCTTACTGATGATTTGAACAAGAGAATATGGGAATACAGACTGGTAAGCAATGAGGATCCACATATGGGTAAGACTCTGTCCTTGCTTTTAAGGTTTTAATCTAGATGGGAAAGCAAGAAAAATGCACCCTATCACTGTTAGGCCATTTGTGGTAAGTGCCAAATGTATTATTAGCCAAAGCACAGCCAGACCTGAATGTTGATGGTGAATTCATCATAGTACCTACATGGTGATTAAGAGCTGTCAGGTGGGCTGTGGGAATCAGGGACAGGGAGATAAATGAATGGACTTTAGCAGACTAAAAAAAATGAGAACAATTCCCATTGCAGAAAGGGATAAGAAAGGGAATGTCTGAGAAGGGAAGCTAGTATGAACAAAGGCACCCAGATAGGAAAGCACCCCATCTCCCCATCCTAGAGCAATAACGAAGTTCTCAGTCTGCTTGGAACAGAGGCTTCATGTATAGCGTATGTTCAGTGATAAATCTGAAAGGCATACTGTATGAGCCTGTTGTCATGCTGCTAATAAATACACACCAGAGACTGGGTATAAAACAGTTCTGCACAGCTGGGCAGGCCTCACAATCATGGCAGAAGGCGAAGGAAGAGGAAACAGATTGCTTACATGGCAGCAGGCAAGAGAGCTTACGCAGACAACTCCCATTTATAAAACTATCAGATCTTGGCCAGGTGCGGTGGCTCATGCATGTAATCCCAGCACTTTGGGAGGCCGAGGTGGGAGGAACACCTGAGATCGGGAGTTCGAGACCAGCCTGACCAACATGAAGAAACCCCATCTCTACTAAAAATACAAAATTAGGCAGGGGTGGTAATGTGTGCCTGTAATCCCAGCTACCTGGGAGGCTAAGGCAGGAGAATCGCTTGAACCCAGGAGGCAGAGTTTGCAGTGAGCTGAGATAGTGCCTTTGCACTCCAGCCTGGGAAACAAGAGCGAAACTCCATCTCAAAACAACAACAACAAAAAAAGCTAGCAGATCTCATGAGACTCATTCACTAATAGGAGAACAGTATGAGGGAAACCATCTCCATGATTCAATTATCTCCACCTAGCTCCACCCTTGACACATGGGAATTATTGCAGTACAAGGTGAGATTTAGGTGGAGACACAGCCAAACCATATCACTTACTGAGGCCAAAGTGTGGAGTCTTGAATAGCATATATAGAAATGTAGATTTTATTTATTTATTTTTTGAGAGTTCCTTTTTGTTGTTCTCAATCTTTTTTATTGTGTTAAAATAGATACATAAGATTTTATTTTATTGTGATAAAATAAATGCATAAGATTTACCATTTTCACCATTTTTTAAAATTTTACTTTAAGTTCTGGAATACATGTGCAAAACGTGCAGGTTTGTTACATAGGTATACATGTGCCATGGTGATTTGCTGCACCCATCAACCCATCATCTAGGCCTTAAGCCCCTCATGCATTAGGTATTTGTCCTAATGCTCTCCCTCCCCTTGCCCCCGACCCCCAACAGGCCCTGGTGTGTGATGTTCCCCTCCCTGTGTCCATGTGTTCTCATTGTTCAACTCCCACTTACAAGTAAGAAAATGCAGTGTTTGGTTTTCTGTTCCTGTGCTAGTTTGCTGAGAATAATGGCTTCCAGCTTCATCTATGTCCCCACAAAGGACATGAATTCATTCTTTTTTATGTCTACATAGTATTCCATGGTGTGTGTGTATATATATACATGCCAATTTTCTTTATCCAGTCTATCATTGATGGGCATTTGGGTTGGTTCCAAGTCTTTGTCATTGTAAATGGTGCTGCAATAAACATATGTGCCCATGTGTCGTTATAGCAGAATGATTTCTAATCCTTTGGGTATATACTCAGTAATAGGATTGCTGGGTCAAATGGTTTTTCTGGTTTTAGATCTGATTTTATTCTATAACCAATGAAGAGCTCACAGGTGAATGAAAGGAAATCAGTGGAAAATTAAATTTATGGTATTTTGTAGGAAAAATTAGAGTAGGAAGGTATTGGTGAAAGGGAGATATTTGGAGGTAATTTTATGAACAGAATGCTATGCCTATCTTTAACAATCATTAGTAAGCAGCCCTTATATTGGAGGAGAGCAGGTGCCCACAAAAGGGAACCCAGGGTAAATCCAGGGTAAATAATTATTATTTCTGACAAGTGTTCCTTGTGTAAAACGTAGTTGAGAATCCTGGATTTGAACTTAAAGCCTTAGCTCTAGGTCACTTCCTTCATTTAAGTTGGTCAAACCCAATGAACCAGCACCATAGTAGGCACTAAGGACGTATCATCTAGAATTTCAGAATAAAGGGAATATTAGAACAGTAGGGAGCTTAGAGAATGTTTTGCATAATTTCATTTTTTGAGTGTGGACAGAGCTCCCAAATGACAGTAGTCAGAACCTAGAGTTAAAACGCAGGCATCTAAGTCCAAATTCAGTGTCCTTTCCACTACATCAAATTCATTGTTCAGTATCAGGCACTATGCCTCCCCTCAAAGAGTCTGCACATGCAAACACTGTTTTTTATGCAAGAAAGGTATAAAAGCCATGCTCATCCCACTGTGAGGGAAATAGAATAATCTTTCTTAAAGACTGGTAGAAAAACAAGCTTCCCAGGCATCAAGATAATAAAGTTTCTTCCTGTAATCTCAGCACTTTGGGAGGCCAGCTGAGGCAGGAGAATCTCTTGAGGCTAGGAATTCAAGACCAGCCTGGACAATATGGCAAAACTTTGTCTCCATAAAAATTTAAATTTAAATATTAGCCTGTCATGGTGGCATAAACCTGTAGTCCTAGTTAGTCTAGAGGCAGGAGTGGGAGGATTGCTTGAGTCCAGGGATTGAGCTTATAGTGAGCTATGATTGTCCTACTGCACTACAGCCTGGGTAACAGAGCAAGATCCTGTCTCAAAACAATAACAATGAAAACAAACAAAAAAACAAAAAGCAGAATAACGTTTTCTCACAGGCTTAATGGTCACACGATGAAAAGGTACATTTTTTTCTTGAGTTTCAGCTTCTGAAGCAAAGTTTGTCCTGGTAGATAAAGAGAAGACCGATCTCTTTCCTGTGAAATAAAACTTTCACTTGATTTGCCTAATGCTGCCTTCTTTCTAAATGGTAGCCCGCTGGAAAGCAGAACCAAAGGATTTGTGATTTGAGGGTCACAATATTAAGGGTTTAATTATTTTAAATTGATCCAAAAATCAACACATTTCACAGCCCTCAAAATATTCATAGACATTCAAATGATTAATCATTTTCTTATCTGTTAAATCCTTCCTGATAAGCTAAATACATTGATATTTGGCATGCAGATGGCAGCAGAGCGGAATTGTAATTGCTCATTAAGCATCTCAACCATGGGTCTTAACTCTTGCTTTTGGTCCAGCTATTACAATGTACATGGACATTAGAACAGAGAGGTGGAGAGGTCTGACTCAAAAAGGTTTCTATTTTTCCAAAGCTCATTGAAATCGATATTATTTTATCCAGACCAGATTTTCTACCTGCAGATCTTTATGTCTATTTCCTCTTTAAAACATCTTCCTCTTTAAAACACCTACCAGCATAACGTATGTTATGTTATGCCCCATAACAAACTTGAAACAATTAAAATATATTTGTTTTGGCCGGGCACAGTGGCTCACACCTGTAATCCCAGCACTTTGGTAAGCTGAGACGGATAGATCACGAGCTCATGAGATTGAGACTATCCTGGCCAACATGGTGAAACCCCATCTCTACTAAAAATACAAAAATTAGCTGGGCATGGTGGCACAGGCCTGTAGTCCCAGCTACTCAGGAGGCTGAGGCAGGAGAATTGCTTGAACCTGGGAGGCGGAGGTTGCAATGAGTCAAGATCATGCCACTGCACTCCAGCCTGGTGCCTGGCACCTGGCGACAGGGCAAAACTATGTCTCAAAAAATAATAATAATTATATATATATAAATTTGTTTTATAAATATGTTGAACATAAGTCAAAAAATTATGGAATATTGCAGTTTATTGGGATGTTACAGGATGTCAAGTCTAACCCTTCATTGACTGCTTAAATCCCTACTGTGGTACCTCATGAAATTGCTATTCTAGCTTCTACTTGAATATCATGAATGAGAAGAAAAATCTACTACTTATCAATTTTTTCAAGGTTACTTACTCATTTTTATACATTATTATCTAATGAAAGCCAAAATCTGCTGTCTTATAGCTTTGCGGTTTTGAGAAAACAGAGATCAAATCTGTTTCCTCTTCCACATAACAATTCAAGTCAACAGATATTTATGGAATCTGAACCAGGCACTGTGCTGTGTACTGGATGTTGAATGAATGAATGCCACATGGTCCTTGTTTTAGAGGTACTTAACATTGTAAGGGTTAGACAGATGTGGATTAGTATACTTGGAGTATTCAGATGCATAGACAGGGATACTTAATCGAAATTTGGAGAGGTAGGGGAAGTCTTGGTTAAATTTTTAAAGAATAATAGGAGTCAGCCAAATAACTAATTCCCTAGGAGAAAAATTTAAGCAATGGTATACAAATGAAAAATCATATGCTTTAATAAACTTGAGGTACTACAAGTAGAAAGACATGAAGAGGGAGTGGTAGGCAACAGGGCTAGAGACATAGACAAGAATCAGATCAAGAAACTTGTACACTGCACCTAAAACCTCTAAAGTGGTTTTAAAAGAAAAATAATATAACAGGTTTACCCTTTTGTTATATCATCTTGGTAACAGGAGAAACAAGGGTAGAAGAGACAGACTATTTAAGAAGTTATTACAGCAAGCCAAGTAAAAAATGATAAAAAGCTGAATCCAATC